ATCAGAGTAATAGTTTAGCTATCCCTGATTTTGAGTACAGTGTAACAGACTAGGCTGTTAGTGGACCCTGAGCTAACAGAGTATCGACTCTGTCGACCCTAACTTATGGAGAGGAAGTTTCTCGGAAGGTTTCTTCCGATGACCCCGCCTTGGATTGATCGCAGTGATCCCCAACATGTGCGTAATCCCCCCCCCCCCCCCTTCCGCTTTATCGAGACGAAGTTTCTTCGAAACATCGTCCTGATACACCTACCATCGAGATCGCGCGAATCTGCAATGTCAAATATACTTTCATGGGATGGGATTGGTCGAAATAGGCTCTGATAGCGGAAGTCTTTGGCTCGAACAGGTGTGACTCGCCCGTTCGGTCGGTACACTCGCTCCAGGAGCACGCCTTTGAGGGTGACTAACTACAGTCGTGTCTGATGCGTGTCGTCTGGAATGTTCAGCATTCAAGCACTACATGCCAGATGAAGAGATCCGATTGGGCATGGTAATAAGACAGGGAAACGTTACACTCACACACCAGATAGGTCAATCACACCCGCCCTGCACAAATCAGTCGAGTGTACAGCCAGGGGGAAACACAGCGCGCAGATTTTATGGAGAGTGGGGATCTTTTCCCCGGTAACAAAGCGCGCGTTACTACTCTGATGTTCAGTTCTCGACCCTGAACAATCAGAGTTAGCTACTTTACAACCCTGAGCAATCAGGGTACTGCTTTTCTGGAAAATGTGCACCCATAATAGAGGGGGAAATTTTTTCCCGGAATCAGGGAGGCCTACCGTATTTCCCCGGACATATCACCCGCCGAAATAGAGCACCCCCCGGGTGGCTTGTGCGGGGGGGGGTGCTATAGCGGGCCTCATTTCTACTATACCCCCCTTTTGGGGCGATCCGATATAGCACCCGCGGGGGGGTGTTATGTACGGGTAATATTGCAGTTTTTGCCCAAATAGCACTGGGTTTCCAATGATTAACCATCTACATGTTAACATCATCACAAACAAGCTACGTTTGACGCTATACAGCGATATCACTCCCATCACACAATCTTTCCTTCATTCAGATGGGGCCTACTACCATCCAGACAGAATGCTATCTACCTATACAGAAGAAGCCCTTCCTCCTACTCCTCGTCCCCAGCATTCCATTCCTCAACCTCCTCTTTGTCAAAGCGGTCGGGGAGCCACCAGTCAGAGCCGGCCTCGCTCCACTCATCTGCATCCCCATCTTCTCCGGCCCCGTACCCTTCCCCATCTCCGTCTTCCGCATCCGCATCCTCTTCGTCCTGCTCCACATGCATGGCGTCGTCGTCTGCCTGCAGCACCTCCTCCGGCACGCGGGCCTCCTCGAAGTAGGGGTTGGGGATGACCTCGTCTTCAACCATCTCGTTCACATCCTCCAGCACTTCCACCTCACCCTTGTCCCGCAGGTGTGCGAGGACGAGGTGGTCTTCGCTGCCGTCGGGCTTGGTGGAAATCCCGCAGGTGACAAAGGACTTCCTGATCAGCTCCTCTGGGACCTCCTGCCAGGACTCGTCGATCCACTTCATAACCGTCTCCGCGGGAGGCTTTTGCAGATTGCCTGAGGGATGGGCAAGGCACGCACCGAGTTGTTTGACGAAATACACAGGCACGCATGCACAACAACACGATCGGAAAGCAAGGGACCATCTCACCTGCACGCGTCCTCGTGTTGATCCCGATGTCTTCAAACCAAGTGCCATAGCGGTGACGCGTACCGGCCTTGAACGCGCGATTCATGGACACGTCTAGCGGCTGCAGAAGCGGGGTGCACCCCTCCGGGATGACCGCCCGCGTCAGACGGAACATTCACATGGTTTGACCGATGGCTTCGGTCAAATGGCCGCGGTAGGAGTCCAGGACGACCAACGCCTCCCTGCGGCGTCCGTCTCTTTCGCGGATGGGCTTCAGAAACGGCACAAGTACCTGGGTTATCCAGTCCTGCACAAGGCCTTCGTCCATCCACCCCTTCTCTTGTGCACGGACAACCACACCTGCCGTTCACAACGCAACGAGAGCGAGTGGTTAGAGGGAGTAATGGATACAACAACTAGAGTGAACATTGAAATAGCTGGATACTTACCAGTTGGGATGGGCACTTTGGGGATGGTTTTGCGTTTGAAAATGACATATGGAGGAAGCTTCAGCCCTCCCGCCATCATTGCCAACATGACAGTGACGCGTTCCTTCTCGTAGCCGGCAGTGCGCACGTGGACCGTCCGCGCTCCCTTTGTTTCGATTGTACGCTCCGCCGGCATCTCCAAAAACAGAGGAGTCTGATCCGCGTTCAAGATCAGGTCGAGCGGGTAGTCGTGGAGGGTGCGCATCCGCATCAGGAACTCCCACAAGGATTCAACCTTAGCCTTGCAATCTGCACGCACAACAAAACAAAGAGAAAACATTAAGAGCTAGCAAAGCTCAGATAGAGATGCATCCATTCAAGGAAAACTTACCCGCAGCTAACTTCTGGCCCATCTTCGTTTTCACCCGTCGAGCCAGGTGCCATCGAGCGCGGAAACGATTAGTCCAGCGCTGTGAAGCGCGCCAAATCACGCCAGGCATCCGATGCTTCATGAACTTGGCGCTCCACTGCTGCAGCATGCTGACCGATACGGCGAGTCCCTTGGCGCGGTGCTTAAGAAACAGCCGATACACGGCTCGTTCCATGAACGGGTACTTCGCGCGGCGCCCAGCTGCCATGAGGCGACGGCGGCATCCAGAGGCGACCTCCAGATGCCCCTTCATCCGCTTCCATTCGCGGATCTGGCAGGGCTGCACCTTCGCCAGCTTGACCAAAGCTCGATTTGACAGGTCCGGCTGCGATTCCTGCAGTTTCAGCCAGTGGAGCTTCTCCTTGGCGGTGTACGCATGACGAGCACGTTTCGTCATGCGATGACGTGGGGAAGGAGCGCCGGCATCCGCGTTGCGCTTCGGAGGTTCCTGGGGGCGTGTTTGTTCCGGGAAGGAAGGAATCTTCACCTTCGGCAGCGCCGGCATAGGAGGGGTCGCGCTGCTGCTCGGTTCATCGTTGGTGGCGCGACTCACGGGGGGTGACGGCTGCAGCAGGACGGGCCGAGGCGAACGCCGTGTGCCCGCAGCAGCGGGTGACTGGGTGACGGAAGGCCGCTGCCGCCTAACCACTGTGCTTCTGGAGTCTGGAGAGGTAGCCATCTAAGCCTAGTGAACGTTGGTGTCGCAGACCATGGAATCCCTGAATTTATGCTAGGAAAGGGTTCGAGGAGGCAGTTGGTGTTAGCACACTCTGCCGAGCATTGCTCGAGTTCGTGGAATGGAGCCACTGCACAGAAAGAAGGATGAACTCCTTCTCAGTACAAGGACGTGACCGCCTCAGCGAGGCAGCTGAGGCTGTTGCTGGTGCTCAGCTGAGACTTCATGAATCCTCGTCGAGCGACGAGGGGGTGTGTTTTCTGTCCAATCAGGGCCTGAATGTGGGCCTTGTTGGAGCTTGCAATGTGGCAGCTAACCCACGAGACTAACGTTATCGCCCAGTCTTCGGTTTTGCGCACCCAACCAACAATCTACCACCGCGTCAAACATGTACATTTTGTTCTCAACCTTTTGTGCTCTAAAAACAATATACATTATGTAACGACCCGGGTGCAATGTACCGTAATACCCCGGATATAAGCGCACCTGCGCTTATAATAAAACAGTGTTTTTTGGGTGGGTGCGCTTATAATTGAGTCAGATTTATAAGCGCATGCGCTTATATAATAACAAATGCAAATTTATAACTCATTGGCACCAAACTGTACATCTCCTTGTGATTTCAATCGAGTCGAAGTGGTAGCGAGTCACAATTCAGATTCGCGCGTGAGCGATTTTCTGCCGGCTCACAGGGGAAAATGTACACGTCACTATCAGAAATGCCAGCTCATACTGACTGGACGCGCAGTATGTGAGGTCCTCGAAAGTCAATCGAAGCGAAAATAGTTGTATCCTCACTGCAAAATTTGAAATCGCTACCGTTTTGATCTGGTTTAAAATTTAGAATTATACGTGCGCTTATAATAAATCAAGGTTTTACAAGGGGTGCGCTTATAAATGAGGATTGGCCATAAGCACATTGCTCCAGATACAATCGCATGCGCTTATAATAAGCCTGCGCTTATATCCGGGGCCATACGGTAGCTTTTTCCGATGACAAGAAACCCCCCCCCCCCCCCCCCCCCTTTTTTTGTGTAGTTATCATAGCACCCTAGGGTGGTATGTCCGGGGTAATACGGTAAAATGAAACGTCAGCCCTGATTCCCGATTGATATTAGGGAAGGGTTACAGGCACGTCGGCCTGGGGGGTTATAGGCGCACTCACCCGCTACACCATCAAGCCCTTTTTATCCCAGCAATCAGTGGCTGGGATTCTGGCAGTTGGGTGCGGGTTTGGCGATCGGGAGACCGAAGGCGACGCGAGGAGCCTCGGCATCGTGGATGTCAGCGGAAAGTGCGAAGTCCGAAAATCGGGGATGTACGCATAGTAGACAAGCCCGATAAAGAATTTGGAAAAAAATCCTTACATTGGGCATCAGGCCCTGAAGAATTTTCACATTCATCAATTTGTAAACACTGATTCAATCAGAATACACGAATATTCATCCCTGCTCATCTTTTACATAGGCACAGAGCGTGACTTAACAGAGCATGGATCTAGTGGTCCCTGGCCTCGTTCTGTTAGCGCGTTAGTTGTGCTCGACCTTAACCAGGGATATTCTACGAATGCGCACTCAGGACCCCAAACGTCCCGATGTACGTCAGGTTGAGGTAAAATTCGATACCATATCACTATTACTCATCAACCCGATAAGAATCTTGAACTTGAACTACTCGGGCTTTAACTAACCTGCCCCAGCAGTATGTGTCCAAGGCCTAGAGCTTCTCACACAGCCTGGCGTCCACCAACAGATGTGCTGTACAGTGCATGAAGTGGTGTCAGTCAGCCTTGCGGCGTGTGTGGAGTCAGCGAGCACGGCAGAGAGCGATGGTGGCATCACGTGATGCGGAGCACAGCTGGCCGTCCGGCGTGAACACCACTGCTGTCACCTGCATGCACGCATGGATGAACGTTGCATGCACGCATGGATGAACGGTTGCATGCACGCATGGATGAACGGTTGCATGCACACATGGGATGAACGGTTGCATGCACGCATGGATGAACGGTTGCATGCACGCATGGATGGACGGTTGCATGCACGCATGGATGAACGGTTGCATGCACGCATGGATGAACGTTGCATGCACGCATGGATGAACGGTTGCATGCACGCATGGATGAACGGTTGCATGCACGCATGGATAAACGTTGCATGCACGCATGGATGAACGGTTGCATGCACGCATGGATGAACGGTTGCATGCACGCATGGATGAACGGTTGCATGGACGCATGGATGAACGGTTGCATGCACGCATGTATGCATGGGTGCATGGCTGCATGGGTCCATTGCATGGGTGCATGGATGCATGGGTGCATGTGTGCATGGATGCATGGGTACATGGACGCATGGACGCATGGACGCATGGGTGCATGGGTGCATGGGTCCATGGCATGGGTGCATGGATGCATGGGTGCATGGGTGCATGGGTCCATTGCATGGGTGCATGGATGCATCGGTGCATGGGTCCATGGATGCATAGTCGAATGGACTAATGGATGGACGGATGCATGGGTGCATGGTTGCAAGGGTCCTTAACGGAGAGTGATAAAGCATACAGCAGCAGAGTGGTGGGTGAGGTGGGCGGCAGGGCGAGGTCTGTGGAGGAGGGCGCAGTCATAGAGGCGCACGCTGCCATCCCAGCCCCCGGTGGCCGCTACTCCACCCGCGGGGTGCAGCGCGATGGCAGCGGTGCCGGGCTGCTGTGACCGCACCCGCTTCACCGCCTCCATGCTGCCCTGCACGGGATACAGGGGCGCATAGGGGTGGAAAACGGGACACAGGGTGGGAGGGGGACACAGGGTGGGAGGGGGACACAACAGGGTGGGAGGGGGACACAACAGGGTGGGAGGGGGACACAGGGTGGGAGGGGGACACAACAGGGTGGGAGGGGGACACAACAGGGGCGCACAGGGGGGCATGGGAGTGCACAGGAAGGCACAGGACGCACAGGGGGCACAGAGGGGCGCATAAAGTGGGAAATGGAGAGGCATGGAGGAAAAGGGAAAAGGTGAGCACGGTGTGTGCGAGGATAATGCGATGCCACGTCGGGTAACTGAGCAGTGGCGGACACCCGCTGCAGTGACGTGTGCAGTGATGGGTGCTGTGCGGGGCGGTGTGAACGGGGCTTGCGAAGTTGCAAAGGGTGGAGCGAGGAAGCAAGGAGGGCGGGTCTTACCTGGGAGAGGGAGAGGGCGGGTGTTACCTGGGAGAGGGAGAGGGCGGGTGTTACCTGGGAGAGGGAGAGGGCGGGTGTTACCTGGGAGAGGGAGAGGCGGAAGAAGACGGTGTCTGTGTCGGCCCCGCCTGACATGCCATGCTCCGCACTGCTCCACACTGCCATGCTCTGCACTGCTGCCCGCCACACAGGGGGGTGGCAGGCATGGGGGTGGCAGGCATGGGGGTGGCAGGCATGGGGGTGGCATGCATGGGGGTGGCATGCATGGGGGTGGCATGCATGGGGGTGGCATGCATGGCGGTGGCATGCATGGGGGTGGCATGCATGGGGGTGGCATGCATGGGGGTGGCATGCATGGGGGTGGCATGCATGGGGGTGGCATGCATGGGGGTGGCATGCATGGGGGTGGCATGCATGGGGGTGGCATGCATGGGGGTGGCATGCATGGGGGTGGCATGCATGGGGTTGGCATGCATGGGGGTGGCATGCATGGGGGTGGCATGCATGGGGGTGGCATGCATGGGGGTGGCATGCATGGGGGTGGCATGCATGGGGGTGGCATGCATGGGTTGCTCAAACCGAGGTGCGAGTGAGAGGAGTAGCACCTACGTGGAAACAAGCAGTGGGACAGAAACAGGCGCTTTGAGTGCCGCCCACCTCGGTGAGAGTGCCGCCCACCTGGGTGGGAGTGCAGGCGCGCGGCAGTGAGAGGGCGATCGGGGCGGCGCACGTCCCACAGGGCCATGCGACCATCCTCGTAGCTGCCCAGCGCACAGGGGAGAAGAGCGGGGGCGGAGGAGGTTGAAGGGGATGAGGAAGGTTAGGGGGATGAGGAATGTGAGGAGGGTGAGGGGGGTGAGGGGGGTGAGGGGGGTGAGGGGGGTGAGAAGGGTTTAGGCAGGGAATGGTGGGAGAGGTGATGGAGGTGAAGGGAGTACGGGACATGAGGGGGGTGAGTCGGGGTAGAGTGATGGTTGTGGCAGGTGCGGGAATGAAGCAGTGAGCAGCAGGGAGAGCAGAGCAGGCAGCAGGGGAAAGGTGGGTGAGCGCACCCGGCGAGCAGGAAGAGCGCGGGGGAGACGGAGGGGCTGAGCATGAGGTGCAGCGCCATGGGCAGGCCTGGTGGGTTGGGTGATGCGGGGAGTGTGGAGCAGAGACACACGAGACAGCTTGGGCGGTGAGAGCAGGAAATGAGAGCTTGCAAACACGAGTGCCTTCAGCAGCAATTGGAGCAGTGGGAGAGTGCGACACGAGGGGAGAGTGCGACACGAGGGGAGAGTGCGACACGAGGGGAGAGTGCGACACGAGGGGAGAGTGCGACACGAGGGGAGAGTGCGACACGAGGGGAGAGTGCGACACGAGGGGAGAGTGCGACACGAGGGGAGAGTGCGACACGAGGGGAGAGTGCGACACGAGGGGAGAGTGCGACACGAGGGGAGAGTGCGACACGAGGGGAGAGTGCGACACGAGGGGAGAGTGCGACACGAGGGGAGAGTGCGACACGAGGGGAGAGTGCGACACGAGGGGAGAGTGCGACACGAGGGGAGATACTCTCAGCTTCATGGTCCGGGAAGAGGAAGGAGATGCAGCATGCGAGGAGATGCAGCATGCGAGGAGATGCAGCATGCGAGGAGATGCAGCATGCGAGGAGATGCAGCATGCGAGGAGATGCAGCATGCGAGGAGATGCAGCAAGGAGGGAGCGCACCGGCAGAAGCAGCGGAGTGGGGGTGGGGGGCGGCGTGGGGAAAGCCTTGAGGCGAGCCGATGGAGAGCGCGCGGGTGGAGGGGTGGCGCAGGTCCCACAGCGCCACCTGCATGGGGGCATGGCGGGGGGCATGGGAGGGGCATGACAGGGGGCATGGCAGGGGGCATGGGGGGGGCATGGCGGGGGGCATGGGAGGGGCATGACAGGGGGCATGGCAGGGGGCATGGGGGGGGCATGGCGGGGGGCATGGGAGGGGGGCGTGGGGGACAGGGGAGGGGGGCGTGGGGGACAGGGGAGGGGGGCGTGGGGGGAGGATGTGGGGCCGGCAGATGGACGCAGGGGAGGCATGGGGACAGGAAGGGGGGGGCGTGGGGGAAGGGGGGGCGTGGGGGAAGGGGGGCCGTGGGGGAAGGGGGGGCGTGGGGGAAGGGGGGGCGTGGGGGAAGGGGGGGCCGTGGGGGAAGGGGGGGCCGTGGGGGAAGGGGGGGCCGTGGGGGAAGGGGGGGCCGTGGGGGAAGGGGGGGCCGTGGGGGAAGGGGGGGCCGTGGGGGAAGGGGGGGGCCGTGGGGGAAGGGGGGGCCGTGGGCAGAGGAGCTTGGAGGCAGGGGGGAATAGGAGCATGAAGAGGGAGTGGGGCGGAGGGAAGATGTGTACAGTGCAGTTATCGTCGCAGGGAGTTGCCAAGATGGGAGGCACTTGTGCACCACTCGCTGCTGCCCCCACGTGCTCCCCTCGTCGCCCGCCCTCGCCTGTGCCCCCCTCGTCCAGCGCCACGCCTTCGTCCCTGCCGGGCTCGGCCGCCACGGCTCCAAGCGCGCCACTCAACAGTCCCGTGCGTGCCCCCCCTGGCCCCCGCCCGCTCCCCCAGTCCTGGCCGTGCTGCGCCCCCCCACCACCTGCTCCACTCGCCTCACACGCAGCGCCAGCACTGCTCAGTGCTGCGTGCGGGTGCCATGCTCCGTCACAGGCTGGCGCTGCTGCCGGGTGTGGTGGTGGCGGGTGGGGGGTGGCAGGGGAGGCAAGCGAGGGCAGAGCCATGCGGCAGAAGGTGAAGGCGCCCGTGTGGATGGTGAACAGCGGTGACGGGGGCGCTGCAACGCTGCTGCTGCTGCTGCTCGCAGAGGTGACACTCTCCACCGCCCAGCACCGCACCACACCGTCCCGGCCCTGCCTGCCTGGTCACAGAGGAAGGCGTGCAGTGAAGGCAGAGAGAGGGGAAGGGAGGAGAGGAGCTGTGAGGGCGAGTAGGTGTGGAGGAGAGGAGGAGGGGTGTGCTGTCGGGGTGAGAGGGAATGTAAGATGCTATGCGTTGGTTCAGGAGGAGCAATGAGGGGGGCATGCACACCCATCACATGGCAACGAGGGGGGCATGCACACCCATCACATGGCAACGAGGGGGGCATGCACACCCATCACATGGCAACGAGGGGGGCATGCACACTCATCACATGGCAACGAGGGGGGCATGCACACCCATCACATGGCAACGAGGGGGGCATGCACACCCATCACATGGCAACGAGGGGGGCATGCACACCCATCACATGGCAACGAGGGGGGCATGCACACCCATCACATGGCAACGAGGGGGGCATGCACACCCATCACATGGCAACGAGGGGGGCATGCACACCCATCACATGGCAACGAGGGGGGCATGCACACCCATCACATGGCAACGAGGGGGGCATGCACACTCATCACATGGCAACGAGGGGGGCATGCACACCCATCACATGGCAACGAGGGGGGCATGCACACCCATCACATGGCAACGAGGGGGGCATGCACACCCATCACATGGCAACGAGGGGGGCATGCACACCCATCACATGGCAACGAGGGGGGCATGCACACCCATCACATGGCAACGAGGGGGGCATGCACACCCATCACATGGCAACGAGGGGGGCATGCACACCCATCACATGGCAACGAGGGGGGCATGCACACCCATCACATGGCAACGAGGGGGGCATGCACACCCATCACATGGCAACGATGGGGGCATGCACACCCATCACATGGCAACGAGGGGGGCATGCACACCCATCACATGGCAACGAGGGGGGCATGCACACCCATCACATGGCAACGAGGGGGGCATGCACACCCATCACATGGCAAGCCACGGGATGCCAAGGAATGGCATGGCATGGCAAGGCAAAGCAAGCCAAGGCGTGCATGGCAAGGCAGGGCGTGCATGGCAAGGCAGGGCGTGCATGGCAAGGCAGGGCGTGCATGGCAGGGAGGGGGGAAGGGGGCGTACGTGAGCAGGGAGTGAGCGAGCGAGGGAGCAGCCGAGGCAGGCGTCACGGCGTCCATGGCGATGATGCCCGCATGGCCCCCGTGTAGCCTGCCGTGAGGGCGCGTGGCGGGGGGAGGGAGAGGCGCGAGGGCGGGGGGACAAGGGGTGATCAAGGAATATGGAGAGGAGAGAGGAAGAACGGATGGGAGGAAGTGGTGGTTAGAGAGGGAGGCGTGTGGGGGCGAGTGCGGAAGAAGGTCCCATTCCCTCCTCCCCTCCCCTGCCGCCAGCACGTCCCCTCCCCCTCCTCCCCACACACTCCACGCCCCCCCTCCTCCCCCCCCCCCGCACCCCACACACAGCGCACCCTGGTGCCCTCGTCCCCCCCCCCACCTGTGGCGTGCCACGGGTCGGTGCGTGGCGAGGCTCCACGCCCTCACGTCGCCCTCCATGTCGCTGCCGCCCTCCCCGTTGCACCGCGCACGGTCGGGGGGAGTGCGGACGGCGGGGGTGAAGAGGGAGCGGAGATGAGTGGGAGGGGAGAGAAAGGGAGTGAGAGGGGAGTATGGGGGGAATGTGAGGGCGAGTAAGAGGTGAGGTGAGGGAGCAGGTCGAACGGGGTGACGACGAATGGAAGGGGAGTTGGACAGTGGGGGGCGAGTGGGGGGCGAGTGGGGGGCGAGTGGGGGGCGAGTGGGGGGCGAGTGGGGGGCGAGTGGGGGGCGAGTGGTGGGCGAGTGGTGGGGGAGTGGGGGGCGAGTGGGGGGCGAGTGGGGGGCGAGTGGGGGGCGAGTGGGGGGCGAGTGGGGGGCGAGTGGGGGGCGAGTGGGGGGCGAGTGGGGGGCGAGTGGGGGGCGAGTGGGGGGCGAGTGGGGGGCGAGGGGCGCACCCGGAGAGGAGGAGACCGGACGCGGCGTGGTGGCAGAGAGCCGTCACCTCCGCGCGATGCCCGCGCAGATGCGCCTCCGCCGCCCACCGCCGCTTCCACGATGGCTTGGCGGGCAACGCCATTGGCGGAGCGGATGGGCTCGGCGGCCGCGCGAAGCTGCGCGCGTGTTGCCGCCCGGACGATGGCGGTTTGTCGCTATCGGTCCGGCCGATCGCGATGGCGTGGCCTCTCTGCAGTTATCGGCGACGTTAAACTTGGGCGAGGGGGAAGTGTGATGCGCGGGCCACGTACGCGCGACGAAGGAGACGCGCTTGAGGGTAAAAGCGGCTGTGCTGAAAGATCGAAGGGGCGACAGCAAACGGAGAGGCGGAAAGGACAACCGGCGTGCATCATGAGAGCCGAAATTCAGTCGCTGCTCGCCAGCCGTCACTACTCTCCCTTCTTGGCGGTGCGTGTCAAAGCCAATTTTTATATGAAATGCTTACAACATAGCTAGGGTAATTATTTGTTACAACTGTGATGGTGCACATTGCCTGCACCTTGCCCTTCTCCTATCCATTCTAATCTACTTCCTAGCCTTCTCTAGCTCCTAGACTCAATCTGAACAACCTCTCTGAATGGATTACGAATCCAATCTCAACAATCTGGAGACGATCAGAAAAGGAAATGGCTTCTACACTGGTCTGTCCCAAGATGTCTCGTTGGTTGACAGATTGCCATAATACACTTCGTTTGACTGGGGATCCAAAAACGCCTGATTTGAAACCCATGGGAAAGCAGAGGGGGGTGGAAAGGAGGGTGGGAGGGAGGAAGAGCAGCGCACACACAACACCCAACACCACCAACTTTAATAGAGACACAACAGCCTGCTGCATCAAGAAACAGCATGCAGAAACGGTGGGTGTAGGCAGCCATGACAGGTCGAAAGAGACAGCCAAGAAAGGACCAGGCAAAGAAGGGCAAAAGACAACATGCCAAAGCTATCGATTAGCATTCAGCAATGCATGCGCACAGCACCACAGTTCACCCACTTCCACCTGAGAGAAACAAGTTGTCCAGAAGCATCACTTGCGTCACACACACACAGACACGACAACCACGTAGAGCAGGCAAAATGTAAAAAGAGTACTTTTGAGACGTCTCAAAAGTACTCTTCTTGCACACGTAGAGCAAAAAAGGTAGCCTGCACAAAAAACAAAAAAAACCCACAAGAAGGTAGCTCTGAACGGACGTAATGACTGAGATGGGAAAACAGGATCGCACCTGCACCTGAGAACCTGCCCACCAGTTCCCACAGGTTTGACAACCATCACCGCATCCCACCTGCCATCACCGCATCCCACCTGCCAAGCAGCTGGCAGCCCAGCAGAAAGAGCCTTTAAATCCGTCCCCTTGCGCTTCTTCTTCGCTCCAGCACCCACTGCTACTGCTGCCGTCGCTGCTGCCACTGCTGCTGCTCCTGCTGCCACTGCAGCCGGTCCCCCTCCCTGCTGTCTTGACTGTTCATCATCCCCAGTTGCACTACCGGCTGTAGCAGCAGGTGTTGCAGCGGCTGTAGCAGCACCAGCACCGTTCAAAAGCGGCGAGTCCGCCTGGGCCTGATTCGCCCCTCTCGCCCGCTTCACTCGCTCTCTCCTGTTTCGGTACGAATGGAAGGATAGGAAGAGTCAAGTGCCACAGGTGGCCGAGGTGGGAAGAGAGGCACGTTGATTTGCGAGCGGACTCAACAGTCAGCCTGAGCCTCACTCGCCCCTCTTCCCCTCTCCGCTTGCTCTCCCTTGCTTTGGTGGGAAGGGGGTGGCAGGGATAGGCACCTTGCCTTGACAGGAAGGGAGGGGCAGGGATAGGCACCTTGCCTTGACAGGAAGGGAGGGGCAGGGATAGGCACCTTGCCTTGACAGGAAGGGAGGGGCAGGGATAGGCACCTTGCCTTGACAGGAAGGGAGGGGCAGGGATAGGCACCTTGCCTTGACAGGAAGGGAGGGAGGGGCAGGGATAGGCACCTTGCCTTGACAGGAAGGGAGGGGCAGGGATAGGCACTTTGCCTTGACAGGAAGGGAGGGGCAGGGATAGGCACGTGGTCGTGATGAGAAGCCGGCAGCAGAAGTATGAAGGAGAGAGACAGGAGCATCATTGGTTTCCTTTACTCCAAATCTCAGGCACAAGGCACTTCAGATTCTCTGTTTCTCCTTTTTTTCTACTTGTCTGTTTGTGGATCAGATGCAAGAGGACTGCGGAAGATTGAAAACATCTTCCCCAAATGCCATGCCCGAACACACACGACTTGATCCAATCCACACAGAGTGGTCGGGACAGTGAAAAGGGCAGAAACATTCAGACTATAAGCTCGTACTAGAAGATACAGCATCTATGAAAATGATTTCTCTCACCAGTCCACTGTGAGTTGTTGACATCGCCATTCTCCTCTGCCTCTCTTGTGTGCAGCTGCTGTGCTGCTAAGTCGACTTGAAAATTGCGTGTACAAAGTCCGTCTATGAGTTGACTGGAAAAGAGTAATTTCTTCCTTACCAATCGACTGCGAGTGGTTGGAAGTTGGCGTTCTCCTCTGCCTCGCCTGTCTGCAGCTGCTGCTGCTTCCACTCCTGGGGACCACAACAAGCCACAAAAAGAAACATATTTCTGAAACACCTCATTTTCCACAACCGATGGCCCACAATTCTGAAACATAAAGACATACAAAAGCGCAAGGACCTAACTTGAGGCACGTTCTTCTCCCAACTACACAACCTTGGAATGAAAACGCCTTCTGTCTTCCCCCCTACACCACCCTCACCTATATTCCTTGTGCCATTTCTTCCAATCACCTCCCCACTGAACAAGGACCGCTCCCTTTCCCAGCGGAACACCAACATGTTTGATGAACATGGATGAGGAGAACGCTCCCAATGAAGGCCAACACATAGGCCCCACAATGAAGGCCAACACATAGGCCCCACAATGAAGGCCAACACATAGGCCCCACAATGAAGGCCAACACATAGGCCCCACAATGAAGGCCAACACATAGGCCCCACAATGAAGGCCAACACATAGGCCCCACAATGAAGGCCAACACATAGGCCCCACAATGAAGGCCAACACATAGGCCCCACAATGAAGGCCAACACATAGGCCCCACAATGAAGGCCAACACATAGGCCCCACAATGAAGGCCAACACATAGGCCCCACAATGAAGGCCAACACATAGGCCCCACAATGAAGGCCAACACATAGGCCCCACAATGAAGGCCAACACATAGGCCCCACAATGAAGGCCAACACATAGGCCCCACAATGAAGGCCAACACATAGGCCCCACAATGAAGGCCAACACATAGGCCCCACAATGAAGGCCAACACATAGGCCCCACAATGAAGGCCAACACATAGGCCCCACAATGAAGGCCAACACATAGGCCCCACAATGAAGGCCAACACATAGGCCCCACAATGAAGGCCAACACATAGGCCCCACAATGAAGGCCAACACATAGGCCCCACAATGAAGGCCAACACATAGGCCCCACAATGAAGGCCAACACATAGGCCCCACAATGAAGGCCAACACATAGGCCCCACAATGAAGGCCAACACATAGGCCCCACAATGAAGGCCAACACATAGGCCCCACAATGAAGGCCAACACATAGGCCCCACAATGAAGGCCAACACATAGGCCCCACAATGAAGGCCAACACATAGGCCCCACAATGAAGGCCAACACATAGGCCCCACAATGAAGGCCAACACATAGGCCCCACAATGAAGGCCAACACATAGGCCCCACAATGAAGGCCAACACATAGGCCCCACAATGAAGGCCAACACATAGGCCCCACAATGAAGGCCAACACATAGGCCCCACAATGAAGGCCAACACATAGGCCCCACAATGAAGGCCAACACATAGGCCCCACAATGAAGGCCAACACATAGGCCCCACAATGAAGGCCAACACATAGGCCCCACAACTCACACACCCTTGTGACCTTGTCCCCTGCTCCCCCCCTAGTCCCCCTCACCTCGATTTTCTTCTGCCGCTCCTTGCCAATCACCTCCCCGTCATACAACGCCCGCTCCCTCTCCTCCTCTTCCTGCTCGCGCCTCATCCTCTCCTCGTCTAGTTCTTCCTTGGCTGCTTTCCACTGCCACAGCCGAGGGAAGATGAGAGAGGGCAAGGGAGAAGTGTTACAGGTACCGATTGCTGACTCTACTCCCACCTCTTCATCCTCCGCTTGCCCTTCTTGGCGCATCCCTCTCCTTGTTTAGTTCCTCCTTCTCCCCTCTCACTGCCAGAACGGAGGGAGGGGAGAAAGAGCAGGAGGGGAGAGGAAGGGGCAAACGGGGGAAAGCTGAATGGAAGCGTTACAGGCAATCCCGCCCCATCCTCTCCTTGACTTATTCTTCCTGTTTGCCACTGCCACAGTGGAGTGAAGGGGAGAGTGTGAGGGAGAGGGTATTGAAGGAGCGAGAGAGGGGGAAGCAACAGGAGAAGGAGAAAAAGGAGGGAAGGTATGTGAGGAGAGCGATGGCAAACATGAAGCGTATGAGCTGCGGACAACAGACCCCACTGGATGTCACCTTGTTCACCCGGGAGGATATCTTCTTGCTCAGGAGAAGGAGCAATGGAGGGAAGGTTTGTGAGAAGAGTAGCACGCACAAGAAATACATGAAGATCCAACCCCTGCCATGAAGATCCAACCCCTGCCATGAAGATTCAGCCCCTGACTTGTTCACCACGGAACACACTTTCTTGCTCGCATGTGTCCCTCTTTTGAGTCGCGCAAATAATGGCCCTCTATTGACCTGCTTCAAATAATGGCCCTCTATTGACCTGCTTCAAATAATGGCCCTCTATTGACCTGCTTCAAATAATGGCCCTCTGTTGACCTGCTTCAAATAATGGCCCTCTATTGACCTGCTTCAAATAATGGCCCTCTATTGACCTGCTTCAAATAATGGCCCTCTATTGACCTGCTTCAAATAATTGCCCTCTATTGACCTGCTTCAAATAATGGCCCTCTATTGACCTGCTTCAAATAATGGCCCTCTATTGACCTGCTTCAAATAATGGCCCTCTATTGACCTGCTTCAAATAATGGCCCTTTATTGACCTGCTTCAAATAATGGCCCTCTATTGACCTGCTTCAACAATGGATCTCGTCTCACCTTGTTCACCAACGAAGACACTTTCTTGGTTGCATGTGCCCCTCCCACTGCCGCTTTCCTCTTGGGCTTTGTTGCTGCACGAAATACAGGAAAGGGGGAGGGGAATTCGAGTTGTTGTGAGGACCATCTGCTTGCATGCATGCGCTCTTCCCGACCTCGATTGGGTTCCTCTTGGGACGACAGGAGAGTAGCAAGGATTCCTAGAGGGTGCGAGGAGATGAGAAGGGGTCTGATTGGGCTAACAAGGTTGCAAGGAGATGAAGAGAGATGGAAAGAGGCACACAGCGAAACGAAGTGAGGAGTGGCGAGACGAGGGAAAAAAAAGGCAGGGGTGGAAGGAAAGAAAAATGGAAGGAAGAACGATGGTGACAGAAGAAAGCAGATTACCGCATAGAAAACTTCATATTCAACCAAGCACACGCACCCCTTTCTGCCTGCTGTTTGGCCGCCGCAACAGCAGCAGCTACAGCCTCCATTGTGGAAAGCACAGGAGCAACAGCAGGGGAAGGAGCAGGGGCAGCAGCAGGAGCAGCAGAAGCTGTGCGTTGGTCCCCGTCGTGTGCTCCAGTGCATGATGCCTCCCGTTCCTCTCTCGCTGCCCCACCATCCCCACCACCACCACCACCACCACCACCACCACCACCACCACCACCACCACCACCACCTGCTGCTGCTGCTGCTACTGCTGCTGGTCTGACCAATGCTGGTGCTGCAACCACAACACGAGGCCGACGGGTGGCAGTAACGGTTGTAGCAGCAGTGGCGGCTGTAGCAGCAGTGGGGGCAGCAGCGTACGTTACAGGGGCAGAGGAAACAGTGGTGGGAGTGGGGTAGGCGGGAGTGTAACCATACATGTCTGAGTATGCCTGGTAATAAGCTGCCTCTGCTGTGTACCCTGCTGGCGGCTCTGCTGCTGCGCCTGCTCCTGCTGCTGCATAGGCAGCATAATGGGAAGCCCAGGCAGCAGCACAAGGATCATAGCTTGAAGCTGCTGCCGCTGTTGCCGGATCGTACGCATATGGTGCTGCTGTGCCTGCATACGGTGCTGCTGTGCCTGCATATGGTGCTGCTGTGCCTGCATATGGTGCTGCTGTGCCTGCATATGGTGCTGCTGTGCCTGCATATGGTGCTGCTGTGCCTGCATATGGTGCTGCTGTGCCTGCATACGGTGCTGCTGTGCCTGCATACGGCCACTCCCCTGCCGCTGCTGTTGCTGCTGCTGCTTCTGTTGCTGCAGAAGCATTGGCAGGGTCAGAGGCATACGCGGTGGCAGCAGCACTAAGAGCAGCAGCATGAACAGCGGCGGCGTCCGCAGCGTAAGCAGTTGCATCGCCAGGAGCACTGGCACTGGCGTCAGCAGCATGAGCTTCAGCAGGTGGAAATAAGGGTTCAGGCGTGTCGGGAGGAGGAGGGGGGGGTGGGGATTGCGGTGGTTGCGGGGGAGGGGACGGAGGGAGAGGAGGTGGTGGTGGTGATGCTGGAGGTAGAGACGAATGCCCTGCCCCTCCTCCATCCACTCCTCCTCCTGCCCCTTTTGCTACCCCCACTCCTCCTCCTGCCCCTTGTGCTACCCCCACTCCTCCCGCTCCCGCTACCCCATCCAACTCCATCTCCACGTCCATGTCCTCGTCGCCACCACCACCCAGCCCACCCAACCCATTAGCACCACTCTTTCTAGTCGCCTCAAGATCATTGTCATCACCAACACCACCCAACCCACCAGCACCGCTTTGCTTCACCGCCCGCTTTCCTGCTCTTCCCTCCACTTCCTCCTCCTCTCCCTCTGGAGAAATCTCCCCACTCTCTGATGCTGAGTACTGCTCCATACCCTTCCAAGTCAGACCAGAACCCCTCTCCACCCCACCCCGCTCCTCCTGATTCCCCATTTCTCTCACCTTATCTGCAACCTCCCCCCTCACCTGCTCATTCCTTTCCTTCTCCTCTTCCTGCCTTTGCATTTCCTCCCGTCCCCGCCTCACCTCTTCTCTCACCCGTCTCTCCTCCTCTTCCAATCGTTCCTTTTTCTCTTTTACCTCCCGCCGTTGTCTTTCCTCCTCTTCCTCCCGCCGTTGCTTTTCCTCCGCTTCCCGCCGTTGCTTCTCTTCTTCCTCTTCCCGCCGTTGCTTCTCCTCCTCCCACTGCTCCCTCACTCTCTCCACTCTCCCCTGCACCTCCTCACTCTCTCCCTCCACTCGCCCCACCTGCTCCAAGCAGTACCCCACAACCACCAGCAGCCCCGCCTGCAACCCCTGCTGTATCTGCACCTGTACAAGCCGTTGCTGCAGGTCCTGCCACGGGTGCAGCACGGGAGGTTCTGGCAACCCAGCAGAGGATAATGGCGCTACAGCTGCAGGGGCAGTAGGGGCAGCAGTTGCAGTGGTAGGGGGCGCTACAGCTGTCGCTACAGGTGCTGCTGCAGACGCGTGTGCAAAACGGTGGGAGAGGGAAGAGAGGTCTGACAGGCGGATGGAGGCCTCTAGCTGCAGGCGAGTGAGAGAGGCGGAGAGGGCGGTGAGGGAGGCGGAAAGTGATGGGGACAGTGGGAAGGAAGGGAGAGAGGGTAAAGCGTTGAAAGTGGGGGAAGGAGCAAGAAGCCTAGATTCGACAGCTACCAGCTGCTGCTGCACGGACTCCAGCCTGGATGCAGCGTCACCCATCTTATCCACCACGTCAGCAGCTGTTGCTGCCAGCTCAGCCTCTGCTGAGTCGACCTGCTCCTGCAAGGACTGGAGCACTGCTGCCATGGCAACGGCGCTCGCCACGTCAGCAGCACCTCTTGCCAGGTGGCGCTCAGCTACTTGTCCCTCTGACTGCTTCCTTGGGCCCTCAAGAACAGAGACAGGGACAGCAGCAGCGGCAGGGACAGCTGCCTCCACGCCCTCACGTGCACGCAAGCCGTCACTGCCCTCCTCGTCCATCCCCACATGCTCTTCCACACACTCCTGCCTCCCCACTTCCTCTCGCATAGCCATGTCCTCTTGCTCCACCCGCTCCCCTTCTCTCTCCCTCCTCTCAACCCCGTCTCCTTCCCCTGCACTTCCCATCGCCTCATCTGCGTCCTCCTGTCTCGGTTCACCACCCTCCTGTCTCGGTTCACCACCCTCCTGTCTCGGTTCACCACCCTCCCCACTCTCCTGCCCTCTCTCCTCCCCTTTCTCCTCCTCTCTCACCTCCCCTTTCTCCTCCTCTCTCTCCCTCCTCTCGCCCTCACACCGCCCCACCTCCTCATCTCCCTCAATCATTCCCCCCTTCTCTCCCACTCCCTCTCCGCCCTCTGACGTGCCCACCGCAACCCCAGCACCCTCGTTTTGCACAACCTCGTCCGGAACTGACCAGGAGGTTTCCCCAGTGACGGTGTTCCAGTAGTAGTACTCGCCACTGTCGGGCTCCAACACGGCCTGCCACACAGCAGCAGCAGCAGCAGCAGCAGCAGCAGCAGCAGCAGCAGCAGCAGCAGCAGCAGCAGCAGCAGCAGCAGCGGCGGCATGGGAAGGCACAGCATGCGCGCCTTGCTTGCCCGCCTCCCCGGTGCTTTCCTCTCCCTCTCCCTTCTGCGCCTCCCCGCTCTTCTCCTTCCCCTCCTTCTCACGGCTTTCCCAAGCATCACTCTGCCGGTCAGCTTTGCTCTCTGCCTCTGCTGCCCCGCCACTCCCTCCTCGCCCTTCCTCTCCCTCCTCTTCCAACCTCCCTTCACCATCTATCGTCTTCTCCTCTTTTATATCTCCCTCCTCCTTGCCCCCCACACCCTCCTTCCCGCTCCCAGCCTCCCCTTTCGGCACATCCCCCTCTGCACTCTCCTCCTCTCCCACGCTACCTCTCTCACGCTCCGTCTCTTCAGGTGCGTTCCCCCCGTGCTCGTCCAGCAGGCCGCTCTCTTTGAGGTCGGACATGAACGCGAGCATCTGAGAGGCCAACCGAGGATACACAAGACAAGGAGAAGCGGGCAAGGGGGGAAGAGAACAGGCAGACTCATTGCTCTCCTGCGTTCCTTCCTTGTTCGTCCAATAAGCCGCTCTCTTATTGCTCAGACATAAGAGGGGATGCGGAAGGGGAGAGACGGGGAGAAGAGCACAGAGTTGTGCGTTGCGTTGAGAAGAGTTCTCTCCTTCCCCTCCACCTGGAGAAGAGTTCTCTCCTTCCCCACCACCTGGAGGAGAGTTCTCTCCTTCCCCTCCCACATTAACGGCATCTGAGGCGGACACACCACCTGGAGACAAGCACGCCACCTGGAGACAAGCACGCCACCTGGAGACAAGCACGCCACCTGGAGACAAGCACGCCACCTGGAGACAAGCACGCCACCTGGAGACAAGCACGCCACCTGGAGACAAGCACGCCACCTGGAGACATGGCTGCTTTTGAGGTGACGTTGCAACACTTAACCAACTTACCCTCCCAAATGTTTTGACCTGACCACGTCACCCCAAAAGGGTTGAATGCCACCATACCCCATCGTCATGTCTCTTCAGCTGACAGAAACCCGCAACGCATCGTACACACCTCCGCACGCCTCCACACCTCCGCACGCCTACACACCTCCACACGCCTACACACCTCCGCACGCCTACACACCTCCGCACACCTACACACCTCCGCACACCTACACATCTCCGCACGCCTACAGACCTCCGCACACCTACACACCTGCAAGCTTACCTCATCATCCATCTCCATCGCATCCCCCTCCTCCGTTTTGATGCCATCCATCTCCCCGGCTATTTCCCCCTCCCCCTCCTCCTCCTCTTCCTCCTCCTCCTCCTCGTCGCTGTATGCTCCTAGAAGCGAGAGAGGGTTTGGTGCCTTGCTGCCTGGGAGAGACAGAGAGAGGTCGAGTCGAGTACAACAAAAGACAAGGGATACGGAGAACAACGGGAAGCAGCAGGAAAGAGGCAGAAAGGCGAGAAAGTGCAGAATGAGATTCGAATTCAAACCAGTTGAGAGATTGTACATCGAGCTGGCTTCGACCTCCCCCAACGAAAGTTCAGGAAAGGAAGTGTCACGTGGACACACACACCACCAATGGTTAGATACGCGCATACCCTCTATCAAGTAAAAGGGTTGACCAGAATAGACACTCATCGCATTCAGAATATGATCTGTGGCATCTGGTGTAGACAGCATATGAGCATCAATGAGCGACCATCAGCAGCAAGCAAGCATACAGTTCAAGCCAAAGGGGGAGGAGCGGTAAAAGAGGACACAAACCTGCACGTACCGCGGGGGTATCCAATCCGCTGAGATGCTGAGATGCTGAGATGCTGAGATGCTGAGATGCTGAGATGCTGAGACTGAGACACGTCACACGAGACGAGCGCGATGCGCCGGTGCTTCTTCCAGTGCCGCACAGAGACTGTAATGAACCTGCAACATTCAACTGCACCGCATTGCACCGTGCCAAGCCAAGCCAACCAACCCTCCTCCTCGCCTCCGTTTCGCTTGGCCATTCCCTTCCCAGTGTCACTAGATGTAAGTCATTGACTGTGCTTGCTGCCTGTGCTTGTGGTGAAGGCAAACCGGACCCCTTCCTTCCACCGATGCAGAAATCGGTGGGTACGCCAGGGCCCAGGCCCAGGGGTTCACAAGGCAGAGTGGCTGGCAGACATGAGTGGTGAAGAGAGAGCCATGACACCGGAGGAAGCCTGGTAGTAGCAGCACGAGCCACCCTGGTTATCAGCTGGATGATGCTCATGATGACGTGGCAATGTGTGTGAGAATATTCCGTTCCATCTCTGTCATTACTCCCCCTCGGCTGTGGAGCATGCAGCACACGTTATCCATTGATGATCTCACGGAAACATCCGCCTCATAGATTCCCCTCATCTCATGCATGTGCGGCCTCGTCATCGCGAGTTTATCCAGACTTAAAAATCATCCGGCTGAAAGTCTTTGCTGATACGAGGCCATTCGATTGTCGCACATGCTGCCCTGGCGCCAATACATGCGGCCGTGACGGTCGCACACATGCCTTCCACGATTCCACAAGGCTCGCATATGGTATCACAAGAGTAGGAGTGGAAGGAAGGGAAGCTTCCACGCACCTTCTACAGAAGGCAAGGGTGCGTCAGCGGTAGCAGCAGCAGCTGCTGCTGTTGCCGGAAATCCTGAGGCTGCCTGATCCCCATCCCCCTTCTGAGAAGCTTCGCCTGAAAAGTGCTCTTCCCCAGCTGATAGATTTGCTTCCGTCTGTGCATCTGAGGGATTTACGGGCGTAACATGAAAACAAAACTTATAGTTCGCTTTTTCGTCTGGCGGTGGAATGGCAAGACATCCGAGAGAAATTTTAAGGGGTTCAAAACGGGTGGAGTAATGGAAGGCGCATAACCGCGATGAACAGCGTATCGTAAACAGCGATGGGACGCGAAAGACGTTCGCTGAGCTTTTTAGTCAAATGGAAAAAACAAACTCCTGAGAATAAAACGAACTCGGAAAATAAACGAAGACCATAAATATGGAGGATAAACCTAATCGAACGTCTAATGTAAGTCAAGGTAGAAAGAACGACACACGATATCTGCTTCCATCACGCCAATCATTCGACAGAAACAAAACGCCTGAACGAACCTTCGGCCGGCTCGGATCCCCATAGATCGAGCTTCACTCGCCGCCCACCGCCTCCTAAAGCGCCTTTCGCTTTCCTCTCCCGCCTACGACCCATAGTAGCTACTAACTAGTAAGTGGTTCACGGTACGACTGATCGTTTGGAGTGCGCGCTCGAGCTTGATGTATTACAATAGCGAAAAGTGAGGCGAACAGTGGGTGGGCGAAGGAGGGACGGACGGACGGGTGGAGTGCATGCGGGGCAGGGCCGTGTCACGGAAGCTAAAGAGAGGATGGTGTGACTGCTACAGGGTTGGTCGAGTTAATGTCGTGGGATGTGGTTCATATTGACTCGGCGGACGTGTTGGCAGCTAAGGTTTGGGAGCGCCGGCGAGGGACGGCAGCGAGGCGGCGCTGGTGACGCGATAGCGGATGAAGGTGTGGTTGAAATTCGAGGCTTGCGCGCTCGGTGCACCTCACAACGGGCAGTGCAGGGGTAATCACAGCGGATGATCGAGCTGTGGCAACGAGACGCGCAGTAATAGGCAAAAAAGGATGACAATTTGCGGACATGAATGCTGAATGGCGGATGAGAAAAAGGGACGGACGCAGCTTGACAATTGTACACAAGATACCCGGTTGCGCCCCCCGACCTTGCCTTACCCTCTGGGCTCATAAGCGATTCTAGCGCTTCGGAGGTTTCGTCCTTTCGCTTCGGGCAAAAAGGGATTATAAAAAAAAAAACATTGTAACTCACCGTTGACTTTTTGACTGCACTCTCTTCACTCGGACTTCAGTTTCTATGGTTCGTATTGGTCGACATGCTTGTAACGTGGGTGCAACCTCACGGCACAAAACCCACGGGTGCAAGGTTTTCATCCAGTACAAGGTAATTTCGCGTGCAGGAGGTGAGCATCTGTGTACTAGGTACACACGATGCCCGGTTGAGCCCCCTGACCTTGCCTTACCATCTGGGCTTATAAACGATTCCTGCATTTCGCGGAGGTTTCGTCGATTCGTTTCGGCCAAAACGAGCGGGTAGACCGCCACGAAATAGAGCCGGAGCCAAGGCTGAGGTGTAACCCTGTGACGACCGCTGCGTAGCCTGGTCGTCAGCCCAAGAAGCGTCTGCGTGACCAGTGAGGACCACTCGACGTCGCCCTCCAAGCACTAGCCCATGCCCGACGTACTACACAAGTAGCGCAACACCCTCTTCGCTGCAGCCATGTGCTCTGGTCGGTGTCTCCCAGGAGCAACATAGCGTGCCAGGATGCTAAGAGGGTATGCAAGGTCAGGTCGAGTGCAGGTCATCAGGTACATGAGGCAGCCACCAAGCTCTGGGTACGGGCCACTCGGCTCTACGGACTCATCCGAAGGCAGAGCGGAGAGCGAGTGACGAGTAGACACAGGAGTGGCTTGAGGCGAGAAGTGTGTGAAGTCGAAGCGCTGAAGGACCTGCTGCACCATGTGTGACTAAGTCAGGGTAATGGTGCGCTGTGCTTTGTCCCGAGTGATTTGCAAGCTAAGGTAGCAGCGCAGTTCACCCAGGTCTGTGCACGTGTGTCTCTTCTGCAGCTCGGACTTCACGTGGGCGAGTCCAGCAGTGTCAGCTGTGGCAAAGACCAAGTCGTCGACGTACACGAGGATGTAGAACGGCGGCAAAGAGGTGTCGGTGCGTCGGCCGTAGAAGGAGCAAACCCAAGAGCCGCAAGTGTAGTCCTCACTGTGTTGTGCCACTCACGGGGCGCCTGGCGGAGACCGTCGACTGGCCGCCGGAGGCTCCACTGTGTACCAGGAGGAAACGACCCAGAGAAGCCAGGTGGGCGGCGCAGCCAGATCTCCTCGTGCAGGCTGCCCTGTAGGAAAGCAGTGCTGAAGTCAAGCGAGTGAAGCTCGTAGTCGCGCTGAGCGGCTATGTGCAGCAGCACCCGAAGTGTGGTCATCTTCGGGGTGGGAGAGAAGGTCTGAAACTAGTCAACTCCCTGCCGCTGACTGAAGCCTCGAGCCATGTAACGTGCCTTGAAGACAGGCGGAGAACCCGGCAACCGCTTCACCTTGAAAATCCACATGCCACTGACGATTTTCGCCCCAGGTGGGGGAACCTCGTCGACGTAGGTGCCTGTGGACTTCCAGGAAGCCATCTCTGCGTCTATGGCTGCCTGCCACAGAGAGGAGTAGGGACCCTCTATCGCGTCTGCGTAAGAGCGCGGAGTCGGGATGTCTGGTGCATCCGGGTCTCCCTCAGGGGCAAGCAGCATGGACACGAGATGAGCTAAAGCAGCAGCAAAGCACTGGAACTCCTCCTGCCTGTCCTCAAGGACGTCCGTGCTAAGAGCACACTCACCCCCGACGGACGGAGGACAGACAGACGCAGACTCAGCAACAAGACTAGCAGCGTAGTCTAGATGACAGTGAGCAGCGAAGTCAACAAGCTCAGCAACTACGGCAGACGTAGTAGTGGACTCAAAGGAAGGGTCAGTGACAACAGTAGCAAGGAGACGCGTGATAGTAGGACTGACAGCACGAAGGGAGTCAGACTCCGGATCAGCAAGAGCAGAAAGAGAGGACTCTGGAGGAGACGGCAAAGGGACACGCAGTGGAGCAGTGGAAGGACGCAGTGCCATCTGGTGCGTACCTTGGACCGCAGGAGGACGCTGACGACGACTGGTGCGAGCAGCACAAACAGGCAACGCAAGACGAGACGCAGGCTCACGACGCTCAGCAAGACCTCCAGTAGGACCAGTGTAGGGAGAAGGAGCAGGCAGTGGGGAGGCGGGCTGTAACTGTGACTCGGACTGGACAGGCGGTGGACACTCTAAGGGAGGAGCAGGACCAGTAGAGGGCGGAAGACGAAGAACCTGCTCTAGGAGCAGAACGAAGTACGGCCGTGGCCGCGCAGCACCTCCAGAATCAGCAGGGACAGCACCAGCACCCCCAGCGTCAGCCCCAACAGCTCCAGCAGCTCCACCAGCTACTCTAGTAGCGCCAACTCCAGTACCCATAGGAGCACCAGCTCCAGCAGCACCTCCAGCTCCAGCACCTCCAGCAGCACCTCTAGCATTACCCTGAGCTCTAGCACTGCCAGTAGCACCAGCGCCAGTAGCACCACCAGGCCCGGCTGTCAGAATCCCAACCAATAGACCATTGGGATAAAAGGGCTTGTTAAGTAGCGGGTCAGTGCGCCCATAACCCCCCAGGCCAACATGCCTGTAACCCTTCCCTAGGATCAATCGGGGATCACCAGTGGACCTCTGACACCCCCCCGCACTGGGATGTCCGAAGTGCATACACCGGGATTCGAACCCGAGACCTTCGCTCTGATACCATGTCAGAATCCCAACCACTAGACCATTGGAATAAAAGGGCTTGTTAAGTAGCGGGTCAGTGCGCCCATAACCCCCAAGGCCAACATGCCTGTAACCCTTCCCTAGGATCAATCGGGGATCACCAGTGGACCTCTGACACCGGCAGCTCCAGTACCTCCAGTACGAGCACCTCCGGGACCCTTGGCTCCAGAACCCCCAGCAGCCCCAGCAACAGAAGGACCTCCAGCCGCAGGAGAACCTCCAGCGCCGGAAGCACCACGAGCTCCAGCAGCACGGCGCCAGCGCCTAGCAAACCACTCGCGCAGCTCCTGCGGAGAGAGTGGCTCCCGCCGGGACGAAGTACTGGAAGGACCTCCAGGCTCAGCACCACCAGACTCCACACGAGTAGGCCCAGCACCCTCAGGCTCCGCACCCCCAGACTCAGCAATCCTAGGCTCAGCACCCCCAGTCTCAACAACCCCAGACTCAGCACCCCCAGGCTTAGCACGCGGAGGCTCAGCAACCCCAGACCCGGCACCAGCAGGCTCAGCTCCCCTAGCAGCACCAGATTCAGCAGCTACCTTAACAGGCTCGATCGCGTCTACCTGAGACACACCTGAGGGGGCAGGAACCTGAGGGGGGAGGGGGTCTACCGGGGAGGGACCTGGTGCGAGGAAGAGCGGCGAGGGGGGGAGGGGGGTAGTGCGGTAGGGGAAGAGACGGTAGTAGGGAACCGACTCGTCAAACATGATGTACTAAGAGGACAGAACATGGCGCGAGGTGGGGTGGTAAAACTGCCAACCAGGCGCGTCAGGGGGGAAGCCAAGGAAGACGCAGGTAACAACTC